CCGCGGGCTCAGGCAATCCACTCACCTCAGCCTCCCAAAGGCACGGGATTACAGGCTGAGCCACCGAGCCCAGCAATAGTGGTATATTTTAAATATACTGATGGGCCGGGTGTGGTGGCTCGGCCTGTAATCCCAGTTGGAGGCTGAGGCGAGAGAATTGCCTGAGCCTGTAGGTTCAAGACCAGCCTGGGCAACTTGGTGACTCCTCGTCTCTACAGTAAATTACAAAAACTAGCCGGACGTGGTGGCGTACATCTGTAGTTCCAGCTACTTGGAAGGCTGAAGTGGAAGGATGGCCTAAGTGGAGGCTGTGGTGGTCGTGAGCGTACTGCTGCACTCCAGCCTGGGCAACAAGAGTGAGATTCCAACTAAAAAAAAAATCGTGAATATACTGATGATTGGAGTGTTTGGAAATGATGACTTGAGTTGGCTTCACCCTGTGAGCTATCCTGGCACACTTGAACAAGATGGAGTGAGAGTGTCACATAGGCAGAAGGTGCTTTAGTTGGGGACCTTAACCCGTATGAGACCTGAGCCAGTTTAGAGTTGAAATTCACTCGAGTTTGGGAGAAACTTACTTCAGTCAAGGTTTCAGTAAGTGAGGACAGTAAGAATGAAGAGTGGAGGTACTTTGCGGGAGGAAACAGACTCAGCCCTTTTTTGTGTTCTGTAGAGCTGGAAACAGTGACCATCTTACTTCTCATGGCTACTTATCAAGAAGACACTGGTTTTCTTCCTACTCCTCTTTTAACAATGTGCATTACTGAAAACACAAACCAAAAGGTTCTCTTCCAGGTGGTAAGGATTCTCTTCTTTCTAAGCCTCTCATAGCTTCGAAGTGAGGCAAGGCTCACCGTTCCTGCTTCTGTCCCTGCCATTCTTGCTTCTCCAACAGAACCAGATCACTCCCAAACCACTGGGCCAGGCTGGCTGGGAATTCATAGATGCAGCCTTAGTCAGTTGCGAGCAGATGCCGGTAGAACTGCAGGTCGTGGACTGGGATCTCAGCCAGTTCCTGTTAGTCTGTGTGTGTATCCCCTGCCCAGCCACCTGCTTCTCCCAGAAAGCTGGCCAGAGGTCTGAGGGATCTAGCCACCAGCCACCAGGGACAGGCAGTTCTTCTGTCATTTCCATGACTGGGTTAAAATAGAATTTGACCAAAACACTAACTCAGGTAATGTTGTTTAGAGATGTTATTTTTTCTGATTAAATTTTGAATTCATTCATTTAAACCATAAATTTAAAAGATAAACCCCTTTGAGACATCTCTTAAAATATAGATTGAGCCAGGTGTAGTGGCTCTTGCCTGTCGTCCCAGCACTTTGGGAAGCAGAGGCAAGAGTACTGCCTGAGCCCAGGGCCTCGAGACCTGCCCAGGCAACTCAGCGAGACCTCATCTCTACAATAAGCCAAAAAATTAGCCAGGTATGGTGGCGCATGCCTGTAGTCCCAGATACTTGGAAGGCTGAGGTGGAAGGATTGCCCGAGCCTTGCAGATTGAAGCTGCGGTGGCCATGATCATGCCACTGCACTCCAGCCTGTGTGACAGAGTGAGACTCCAACTCAAAAATAGAGAGAGAATGCACGCTAGGATTCATTCTTACATCTTCTGATTTGATAGGCTAGAATAGAGCCAGAAATCTGCATTTCTACAAAAGTAACTCAGGTGATTCTGACATCGGTGGTGAGTGGCCCACACTCTGGAAAACACAGCACTAAACTGTCAGCTCCATGAGGCCAGGGACCATGTTGCTTTAACTCAAGTACTTACCCCAGAGCCCAGCATGAAGCAGATACTCAGTACATTTTGTTGAATGACTGAATTTAAAGGGCACAGATGAATACACAAACAAGTGAAGCAAGTATACGTTTGAGGTAGCTGACCTGAGAGGGATGAAGAACAAGTGACCTAGCATGACTTTTATGGATAATATAGACAAAGGCTGAATACTAACTGGCCGACTATCTCCTTCAACAAAAGTAAGCTATCCTTAAATGTTCTCTTCCTTTTAGTTAAGACTGTACCCTGCGTTGCAACTCCAGATGTAGAATTAATACATATGCTCAACATACACAATATAAACATGCATTTTTATTCTTCCCTGGAGTGCTTATTTTATTTTATTTTAGACAGGATCTCACCTGTAAGCTAAGCTGGAGTGCAGTGGTGTGATTATAGCCTACTGCAGCCTCAAACTCCTGGGCTCAAGTGACCCTCATGCCTCAGCCTCCCAAAGCACAGGGATTACAGGTGTGAGCCACCACGCCAGACTGAGTCCATCCTTAGATCAGAACATACCAAGATAATTTTTCCAGAATTGAACTTATCTAAGAACTGTTTTCTTTTCTCATTTTAGGAGCAAGCCCGGATGTTGGAGATGGGCATAACTGGCCCAGAAGGCCACGTCCTGAGCAGACCAGAGGAGGTGGGTTTCGCGGGATAGAGGTGGAGGTGGAGGGAGGAGGGAAGAGCAAGGGCAGTGAGTGTCCAGTTCCCATCAGCCTCTTCTGGGAGGCCCCTGCTACCACAGTTCCTGTAGCCCTGCTGTGGCCGCTGCCCATTGTGCATTTAAAGTATTTGCGTTCAGCCCACCGCCTGAACCATGTGCACATACAACATGAAGAGGATTACTGGGAGGCAGTGAGGACCCGTGGACACCAGACACCAAAGACCACTTCTGCCTGACTCTCGCTCAAGGGCCCGTGAGAAGATGAGAAAGGAATGCAGGGGAGAGGCTTACTTCTGGCCCCTAATCTCTCTGAAGATAACAGAGTTTGAAGTGTCCTTCATGGCTGTCAGCAGGAGTGTTAATTTTCTAATTCCTTTCTTAACCAGTGTGAATCTTGGAGACATTTCCACTTACTCCATTATTTCATATTATATTTGGAGTCCTGCAAAATATCGTACTGATGGATGGGGATATTTTAGGCATTATGCCTGTTGATATACATAAGGCAGTGATTGCAACCAGGTGTGGAAGTTTCCACACGTAGAGTGAGTGATGATTTGCATCTGTGCTTAGCTGCTAGCATGAACGACGGGGTACCCAGCAACCGGGTTCCATATCTCTGGGATGTCAGAAACCTCACCTCTGGCACAGGGCACAGAGCTGGAAATGGGTGCCCAGATGGCTAAGAGTGTGCTGGCTTTGGAAGTGCAACCTGGTCTGGCCCAGCAAAGTCAAGGCTTTCCATGCCAGCGATGCAAACCCGTCAGTCCAGTCATTCCAAACTTGACAATAGGTAGAAGACGGAGTTGAATCAGAAGTGATGCACTCCCATTGCCCGTCTCTTTTAGGGTCTTATTTAAAACTTAAATGTAACACACAGAGAAAGAAAGCGTCCCTATGGTAAAGATACAGTGAATTTTCACAAACTGAATACACTTGGATGACTAGCACCCAGCTGGGGAAAAACATTATCAGCACCCCCAGAAACTCCTTTGTGTCCAGTGATATTTTTGTTGCCATCTGAAATAACCTATCATTTTTTCACAATGGGGTTCCAGTCACAGTGGCATTCTTGAAGAGTCTATCTCCATAATGATACCAGGTCCCCTGTAAGGGCGACGTACCCCTGGGCCAGCGTTGCCTGCCGGCATCATCCCAGTCACCCTGCTGCTGCTTTAAGCGGGTGGTCTTGTTGTGCCCGGAGAGAGCTGAATCCCAGGGAAGCTAAGCCACTGGCCGATCTCATCTGAAGGATTGGAAAATCCTGTAACCAGCGTGAGTGGGCCAGGGTGGGCAGCACTGTTTGTGGAACTTTTCGTAAATGCTGGTCACTGTGGAGATGTGCTGGCAAGAGAGATTTCCAGCAGCAGCCAGGGGATTTCAGAGCAGAGTCTATTTTTGTTCCTTGGTTTGTTTTTTCAACCTTCCCTTAGCCCCAGCAGCCCACCCCTCCTCCCTGTTCCCGTCTCCTTTTTAGTAAAAAGCCTCTCAGCTGCAGATCTCCAGGGCCTTGGAAGCCCTTTGGGGTGAAGCTGGAGGGTGATGTAACCTTCCAAAGATAGTCAGGTTGCCAAAGTGCTGAGGAACCTGCAGTGCAAGGGTGTGAGATCAAAGGGCCAGGACAGAGGTCTTGGGAGCTGAAGGGTCAGCATGGGTGTGCAGGGGAGGAGAAGGCAGAGGAGGAGCCAGCCCCTCTTCAGTTAAAAGGACACCCAGATACCCTTTCAAGTGAGGCTGTTCAGAGAGCTGGGGCCCAGGCACACATAAGTCTGGTGCCTCAGGAAGATGTCTGCGCTCTCTTGTGGCCGGGATGTCAGGGCCTTATCCATATGTAACAGTACATATTGGGGAATGTCCGCTCAGCCAGCCACGTTCTTAGAGTGTCTCTGAGCCACATCCACCATGGGCAGTGACTAACTTGCAGTATATAACCACTGGGTATCTGAAAGCCATTTCTGGTCTGTTATAAAGTGTTGGGGTCCACAGGTTAACCAGAAGGCCATATCTACACAAAAGGAATTGCTGCCAATTGAATGGAAAATGCCAGGGTCTCTGCTTGGGGCTGATGGACTGCCTTAGGCTTTGGATAGTAACACAGACTCTCAACTGGCCAGAAATGGGGACCCATAATGTGGTCCATAGCCACCCTCCAAGGGACACTTGCCCTGTCCCCAGAATTGGATAATTGCTTTACAAGGGTTAACTCATGTTATCCCCACCACAGCCCTAGGTGTCAGGTCCTGTTATTATTTCCACTTTACAGGTGAGGAAACTGAGGCTTTGGGAGGTTGTGTAACATCCCTGCAATCACCCAGCTTGTAGGCCAGAATCAGGGCTCAGACCCACAAAAAGGGAAAACTTCCTCCTGCTTAATACATGCAGCTGGGTTGCCTAGCATATCTGCAAACATGAATTCTGCACTAGGGTGGGGCAGAAGAGATCAATAATGAAACACATCTTTGTGCTGAGAAGCTTGGGAATTACTTTATAGAAATACCTCCTAGAATTAACGCCTTGCTGACCAACTATTGCTGTAGGAAAGGACTTGAGGAACCACAGAACCTAATTACCTTGGCTGGTTATTTTAGATAGAGACACAATGGTGAGACCATTTTCCAGAGACTGTCCTGAGACGATGGGGGGGCAAGGCTCTTTTTATACACCATGGCTGTGCCACCGCGAGAGCAGGCAAAGGAGCTGTAGCTAGCTTGGCCTTAGCTCTCTCCCTGTGCCAGGCATGGCTCCAGAAGACAGTTCTTGTTCCTACTCGACTGGTGAGGGACAGAGGCACGGGAAGCTGAGCGAGGGACCAGCTAGGGAGCGGTAGGTCTGCGGGGGGGACCCAGGCTGTCTAGCTTAAATCCTGCAGGCTTTTGCCTCCACGCAAGGCCACATGTTGTACTCCTGGGGGCGGGATGGTGAACTGGAGAGGTGCATACTCTTACTGACTCCTGGGCACCTTTCCTTGCAGCTGGAAGCTGAGGCTGTGTTCCGTGCCATCACCATCGCCAGCCAAACCAACTGCCCTCTCTACGTCACGAAGGTCATGAGCAAGAGTGCGGCCGACCTCATCTCACAAGCCAGGAAGAAAGGTGATGGACAGTGTTCCTGAGGCTTTGGAGCCCTGGGCCGCCATGTGCACCTTCCCTCCCTGGCTGTCCTGTGTGACACACATGGGGCCTGCTGTGCTTCTTGCCCTGCCCTCTAGGAAGACCCTCTCTGCATCCTGGGTGGATGGCAGGGTCTTAGGCTTTCCCCCACTGTTGTCATAGAAATGAACTGAGGCTCAGGAAGGTTAGTTTGTTCAAGGTTTCGAGTCATCTCTTTTGAGACCTGGTGCATCTTCTTCTCTTTGTTCTTTCATCTTCAGTTCACGCCATCTGAACTTTACAAATGGAGATATTAGTGCAGATGGTATCAGGGGGAAAAGCCAAAGATTCAACTTAAACTGGCTTAAACAAACAAAAGGAAATGATTGTGGGTGTTTCAGGCACAGCTAGATCAAGGGGCCTCAACCACAGTGTTAGGGCTCCATCACCCTTGCTGCTTTCTTGGCTCTCTTTCCTCTCACTTGCCTTTTTGTTTAATATGAATGATGACAAGAGCAGATGCCAGGAGGTGCCAGCTGTCCTCAATTCCTGATGGAGGGTGTGACAGCGACGCAGAGTTCATCTTTTCCAACAGCTCCAGCAGAAGTCTCCAGGAGCATTGACTCTCTGGGCTGGGGTCATGTGCTCATCCCTAAACCAGTCACGACCCTGAGGATGGCATGATCTGGCCAGGAATGGGTACAAAACGCAGCAGCAGGTCTCACCTCCTGATTCACACAGACTAGCACAAGTCATTGTAGAGGAGGGGCTGAATGGTCTTTAAAGCATTGCCTCTGTGGCCTTTGCACTGAGGCTCTGTCCCCACGGCTGGCTGGGCTCTGCCACTTTTCTCCACTGCTGTCAATGTGAGCTCTGTTTGCTTGCCTGTGCTCAGCTTAAATTTGCTCCCGTTCCAGAACTTGCTTTTCTTGTCCTCAGTGGCAGACTTGTGGGCTCTGTTGTGAACTGGGCAGTGGACAGAGTGTGGCCGAGCAGCTGGAGGTGTAGGGCTCTGGGCTGGGCTGTGAGAGCGGTTCAACAGGCTGGGCATATGGTGGCCACTGCCGTGACCCATGGCCATTCCGAGAGTGCAGGACTCGAGACGAGTGAGCATCTGTGGGTGAACATCCATGGGTCTGTAAGACTCCACGTGTGAGTGACTGTGGCCACTCAAAATAGATCCAGCTGATGACACCTGGCCTTCTGGCAAAGAGCAACCCTTTATTATGGGAGGGGAATCTCTCGAAGTTTGTCAGTCTTCCTAGCTGGCAGGCCCTGGGGCATCTCCTTACTTCCTGTGTTCCCAGTGAACCTGCTATTTCCCTATCCATCTTCGCACGTCTCCGTTGACCCAACGTGGTGGCACCACTGGGCACGAGTCATTGACATAGAGGGGCCTAGTGTTCCTTACCTGTACATGAAGGTAAGGCCAAAAGGCCAAAAAAGAAAGAAGAAAGTGCATACCCCTGCTCACCACCACACACACCTCTGCTGTGACCACCTGCTGCCCTTTGGGCCTTCTGTGGAGGCTGTAGCCTGCCTGGCATCCATTCTTAGGTTGACCTTGAGACAGTTTGAGTTACGTGCTGGTCTCATTTCCAACTTCATGGAGAAAAAGCCCTCAGCCTTGGCCTTTTGACATGTGGTTCTCTGGTAAGGAGAGCCAGGCCTGCTGTGTGTCCCTAGGGAAATTGGAGGCATTGTTTCAGGGATGGATGTAGCTGCTGAGAGTGAAGTTGGCACACGCCATACAGACCGGCGTCTCACAAGAGCCTCAGAGCAGGAAGGTAGAGTGTAGCAGGCTACTCTTCCCTCCTGACCCGGATGCTGTTACTCACTAATCACCAGGGCTCTGTAATTGTCTGGATGCTCAGAGTTAATATTAGAAAGGCATGATTGGTAGATTGAGAATAAATGGGGTCTTGCTATGTTGCCTAGGTTGGTTTCACACTCCTGGGCTCAAGTGATCCTCCTGTGCTGGCCTCCCGAATGGCTGGGACTATAGGTGTGAGCTACCACACCTGGCCTGAAAGCTTTAATAAGGACCAACTATATGCCCAGTCTTGAGATAAATACTTTAAATTTTTTACTATAAATTTTTTACTATATAAAGAACCCCGAGAAAGGGACATTATTACCCCTTCTCAGATGAAGAAATTGTCCAGGGTCTTTCAGCTGGGAGGGGTAGTATTCAAATCCAGGTCTAAGTTGAGTCGTTGCTTATTCTACTCTTTCATGCAGAAAGGAGAGTGCAGAGGGAGAATTCTTCCACTTTTAAGCTGTTTTTCTTAAGAGTAGTTGAGTGCTTGCTTCTTCATCTCTTGATTATCCTGTGTGATTTAGTTTGTATTTCTGAAGGGCCCTTGACATTCCCTTCAGTTATGTTTGGATCTGTGTTGGTCACCCCGAAAAGCAGGGTTGTCACATGTGAATCATTGCCACCGTTTCCTTCTTTCACCCACGGCAGACATTCCTAATCAGTCTTGAGGTTTTTTCCTAGGGAGACCAGAAGCATCATTAGAATTCTTCCCCAAGTGGAGTTCTAGGCGATCGTTGGTTGGGGCTGAAACAAGACAAAGCCTATTTACACTGGTAGACATAGAGTGTTAGTTTGTGGAGAGCTTGACCGGAAGACTGAAGACCAAAGCAAAGAAGCCAGGGCTGTCCAAGGTAGTGCTGGTCTGAGATTTCGGCATCAAGAGCCTTGGTACCAACCAACTCTCTATGAGACAGCATCCCCTGACTGTATTACTAACCCTCCTTGAAAAAGCTCAATGAAAGTTTAGATCAGTGTGTTTCTCCCCTTCCATGATTTGGGCAGTTAAGCTCCTATTTCTTTGCACAGAATCCAAGAAGCTAGCCTCCTCTTTGATGTGTCTCAGGTTGTTGAATGTCTTTGAGCAATTCACTCCTGCCTTAGGTTAAGGAGTAACACACATGATGAAAAAGTCACAAGAGCCTCTGGTCCACAGGAATGGATTTCACTCTGTAGAACCAAAGGCTGTCCTTGTAGCAGGGGGATGTAGCCATCTCAAGTGACGGGGCATGTCCAGGGCTTTTGGTTCCTGCAGTGGATAGGAGTGGGAGGTGAAGTCAGTATTTACTGAGCAGCTGCTAGGTGCCAGACTCTTCACATGTACCCTATCTTTTGTTTCCATAAGCCTGAGAAGCAGACATTATCTTGTTTCATCAATTCTAGACATATCTGGTTCATATTTTAATACTTCTGAAATGAGAATGAATCTTAAAATCAATATATGTTATTTTTATCTTTTGCCTCGAATCTTAATTTGCCTCAAAATTTGAGAATGAATGCTGCATATTACAGCCAACAGCTTCTTCTAATCTAGAGAACACAAATTTGTTCACATTTAGCAGATAGAAAGCAGAGGTTTAGAACAGGTGGGAGCATGACCTTGAAACCAGGTCTGTCTGACTTGGATTCACAGCCTTGGTAGGCTAAGGAACTGTGCTCAAGCATGACAGGCCCAGTGCCACACGTGCTTTGTGCAAACCCCCTCCCTGTCTCCCCCCTCCCTGTCCAGGTAACGTGGTCTTTGGTGAGCCCATCACCGCCAGCCTCGGCATAGATGGAACCCATTACTGGAGCAAGAACTGGGCCAAGGCAGCTGCATTTGTAACATCCCCACCCCTGAGCCCCGACCCGACCACACCTGACTACATCAACTCCTTGCTGGCCAGGTGGGTGCAGGGGGCCTGGCAGTGCACATTCTGTGGAGCCCTTGGAGCTGACTGGGGTGAGGACCAGAGCTGCCCATCACCAGCTAAGAGTTCCCTGCAGCCTTGAGCACAGCACAAGCTCTTCCCTGACCTGTTTCTGACAGTAATACAGGTGCAGTGTTTGTGATGGTAGTAGCGGACAACACTCCTCATGCACCAGGCTCCATGGCGAGACGGCACGCGGGACCCCGCGTGCTCCTCAGAGCAGCTCTGCAAGGCACTATCATCGCCAGTGCATGAATGAAGCGGCCGAGGGTCAGAGAGGCCCGATGGTCTGCCCAAGTTCAAATCGCTGGTCACAGTGAATCAAAATGACAGGGAGCTTTGTGTGTCACTGCCCTCTGCAGACATGTGGGATCGTGTTATTGCTCATTTGAGTCCCTTTTCTTTTGCCATAGAAGAGAGGATCTCATCCTGTCCCCTCACTTGCTAGATGGAAAAACTGAGTTCAGAGGGGGGAAGAAACTCATCCAAGCTCCCACAGTTAGGAGGAGGTAGAGGAGGGAGTCCAGATTCAAGTGTCAGGTCCCGAATCTCACAGTAGACCCTGGGCTCTGGAAGCATCTCTGTATTCACGTGGTGCTCTTTCCTTGCCAGCGGGGACTTGCAGCTGTCTGGAAGTGCCCACTGCACTTTCAGCACTGCCCAGAAGGCAATCGGGAAGGACAACTTCACCGCCATCCCCGAGGGCACCAATGGCGTGGAAGAGCGCATGTCTGTCATCTGGGACAAGGCTGTGGTAAGTGATGGATCCTATGGAAGGGTGACTGCTGCTCCTCCCTGCCTGCCCAGGGTGCAAGAGAGGTCTTGCACCTGCCAAGAGGCCTCTGGAGCCAGGAGCCTCAGGCAGTTCAGACGTTCTCCTTCTGGAGAGATGGATCCTACGGAAGGGTGACTGCTGCTCCTCCCTGCCTGCCCAGGGTGCAAGAGAGGTCTTGCACCTGCCAAGAGGCCTCTGGAGCCAGGAGCCTCAGGCAGTTCAGACATTCTCCTTCTGGAGAGATGGATCCTACGGAAGGGTGACTGCTGCTCCTCCCTGCCTGCCCAGGGTGCAAGAGAGGTCTTGCACCTGCCAAGAGGCCTCTGGAGCCAGGAGCCTCAGGCAGTTCAGACGTTCTCCTTCTGGAGAGATGGATCCTACGGTGTTGAATGCTGGGGAGGCCTCTTCGGCAAGACTGTGAAGGACTAGGAAGCAGACGGGCAGCCCCTTCATTTGGTTGCATGAATGGCATGTATTTAAAACAACTGGGAGCCGGGCTCGGTGGCTCAGCCTGTAATCCCACGCCTTGGGAGGCTGAGGTGAGTGGATTGCCTGAGCCCGCGGGTTCGAGACCCGCCCGGGCAACTTGGCGAGACCTCATCTCTACAAAAAATCAGCCGGGCATGGTAGCGTGCGCCTGTAATTCCGGCTACTCGGAAGGCTGAGGTGGAAGGATCGCCAGAGCCCAGCGAGTCGAGGCTGTGGTGGCCGGGAGTGGCCACTGCACTCCAGTCTGGGGTGAGTGACTCCAACTCAAAAAAAATAATAAAACAACGTGGAAGTGATTCTCTTGTGTGGAGAGTTTTGTGACTTCTTTTGAAAGGGCTGGATGTAACACTTTGAAACAACAGTGACAAGTCAGTGCCTAAACTAATGTCATCGTGTTTGTCACAGTGCTCCATTCGGTGGGCCTGTGGCCATCCAGCTGTGCACACAGCTCTCTTCAGTGTCTTCTGGCAAAGGGGCCTGATTGCATTTTCCTTGTTCACATCAAAAGGCTGACAAAAGAAATAGCCATTCAAATGAAGACTCTCTTAGAGCTTTTAATAAAATTAACAATTAACTCATTATTAAGTACTTCCCAGTGTTTTATTTTAAAAACTGTAAAGACATTATGACTGTTGTCTCATTTGTCTAGCACTGAGTAATCCACTAAGTTTCCTGTTTCTTCTTGGCTTCCAGGAAACTCAAAGCTAGGTTTTAAACTCAGTTCTTCCCTTAGGTGGGTTTTTTTTTTTTTGGTGTGAAAAGAGGGAAAAGTATAAATATTTTTGTCTCTTCTCCATATAGTGTTTGTGTTTTGTTAACACTACCCTGCAGTATAGAACATATCTGTATATATTTATCCAGGCACTGTCTGGACTCTTCAGCGATCATGCAAATTTAAAAATTACCAACATGATACATGCTCCATAAAGAGTATTTGGAAAGCACAGACAAGCACATGACTGAAAGGAAATAAAACTACGTTTCACAGCCCAGGGACACCACTGTTCTCATGTGGGAGAGAGGCTCTTTTACGTTCCTTCTGTGCATGTGCAGATACAAACACATATCTAAAGGGTGGGGATTCTTTTGGAATTAGCAGGAGTGAGTTGGTAAGTTCATGAATGTACATATCCAGAAAACATGCCTACTCAGGAGCAGTGACTTCTCTCTTGAGCCATGGAGTCGTCATGATGGCTGGTGGGTCTCTAGGCTCCTGGGGAAGGCTCTGTGCTCAGGGCCACCACCTTGTATTGCTGGGCCTCTGTGGTTATTTCTCTCTGAGCTCAGAGCCCTGAATCAATATAGAGTCGGAGACAGAGACAGAGACAGAGGTGAGATAGAGATAGAGATAGGGAGAGGGAGAAAGAGATAGAGATGGCTAAAGATAGAGATAGAGACAGAGAAACAGAGATAGAGAGAGATAGTGATGAGTTAGATATAGATAGAGACAGAGATAGGGAGAGGGAGATAGAGTTACAGAGAGAGATAGAGATGTATAGAAATAGAGATATAGATAGGCCAGGCTCAGTGGCTCCGCCTGTAATCCTGCGCACTGGGAGGCCGAGGTGAGTGAATTGCCTGAGCCCGTGGGTTCAAGACCCGCCTGGGCAACTTAGTGAGATCTCATCTCTACGATAAATTAAAAAAAAAATATTAGCCAGGCATGGTAGTGCGCGCCTGTAGTTCTGACTACTTGGAAGGCTGAGGCGGAAGGATCGCTGGAGCCCAGCAAGTCGAGGCTGCAGTGGCCAGGAGTGGCCACTGTACTCCAGTCTGGGTGACAGAGTGAGACTCCAACTCCAAAAAAAAAAAGAGAGAGAGATATAGATGGAGATGGTTAGAGATAGCGATCTCGATAAAGAGAGAGAGAGATGGATATACATTTTTGTATTTCAACAGGCTACAGGGAAAATGGATGAAAACCAGTTTGTGGCTGTGACAAGCACGAATGCTGCCAAGATCTTCAACCTGTACCCCCGCAAGGGGAGGATATCTGTGGGTTCTGATAGCGATTTGGTCATCTGGGACCCAGATGCTGTGAAGATTGTCTCTGCCAAGAGCCACCAGTCTGTAAGACTTGCACTGGGGGGTGGGTAGCTTGAAGGAGGCATGCGGGGAACTGGTTGGGAGGAGGCATCTTTGCCATGCTGGGCTGGGCTGGCCGCACCCTGACAGGCTGCAGGACAGTCCTGCCCCTCCCCTGACCTTAGCGGCTTCGGACCTTGACAGCATTTCCTACTCAGCTTTTCAGGCAGGCTGTCCGCGGGGGGCGCTGCCGTCCTTGCCCTGGGGGGGCTGGTGGAGGCTGCCTCTGCCCAAGCTCCAGATAGCCCAGGTGGGGTCGCAGGACACTGGGGGCTGGGGGGCACTGTTCTGGGAGAACCCTGATAAGTGGCGTGTCCCACTTCAGCCACACTGCATGGGCAGAGCCAGCCCCACAGCCATGCCTGAGGCCCTGTACCTGGAAGAAGGAACAGGAGAGAAGGGTGACCAGCCCCAACTCCCTCATGAGGAGTTTCCTGGTGGGGACCACAGTTCAAGTTCAGAACCCAGCAGAAAAGGGCATCATACCATGCAGTAAAAGCAGTTAATACTCTAAGCACTCTTATTGCAAGCACTGTGCTTTTAATTCACTGACTTTTTAATAGTTTTTCACGGCTGGCTACTATTGTCACCCTGCTGTATAGATGACACAGTGAAGGTACAGAGAAATTAAATAATGCACGCAGCGAGTAAATGGTGAAGCTAGCATTCTAACCTGCTCCGTCTGACTCCAAACTGAGGTTTTGAGCCACTTGGCAGTGCTGCGCCTTGCTGGCCAAGTAAATGCAGTCCCATTGCAGAAACATCATGTCATCTCACTTTGTATAATTTTGAGGTCCTAGGGACCTAAGGGCCACCTCTCTCCTCTCCCGGCCCACTCAGTACGAGACTGCCGTGAGCAGCACCCCGAGAACTAACCAGCTTCTCGTAGAACACTGCAGTGACAAACACGGATTCCTACCTGAGGGCCCGAGGAAAGGCTGGGCACTTGCTTTGGCTAGGCAGCTGGTCCAGTCTTTGCTCAGCAAGAATATGTCTCCCAGGGCTTCTTCCACTGAAAGTTCTGGGTGTGTAGTGGCTCTTCCTGGCCTCCCCGGCGAGCCAGCTCCTGGTAACTGCATTCCTCCCTCCCCTTTGCCACCCCTGTCCCGGCTCTCCTATCCTGGCTCAGGCTGCGGAGTACAACATCTTTGAAGGGATGGAGCTGCGGGGGGCGCCCCTGGTGGTCATCTGCCAGGGCAAGATCATGCTGGAGGACGGCGGCCTGCACGTGACCCCGGGCGCCGGTCGCTTCATCCCCTGCGGCCCTTTCTCCGACTACGTGTACAAGCGCATCAAGGCCCGGAGGAAGGTAAGCAGCAGGGCCTGAGGTGGGCCGCAGGTCCCGTCCATACCTGGGGACAGGAGCCACGAGAGGCAAGGGGCTGTGTGCTTGAGACCCCCACAGAGAAGTTCACAGCGCCACCTCACCCCCAAGGACAGCTGCTGGACTTCTTGTGCTATATTAGAGGAGATATTAGAATGCTTTTTGGCTAGAGAAAGCTTCTTAAAAGATCGTTTAACTTGCATTTTATAGTGCTTTTATTTAAAATAATTTAAAGTTTAATTCAAAATAATGTCAGCATATTTTTTATTATTTATTTTTATTTACTTATTTATTTTTTGAGTTGGAGTCTCACTCTGTCGCCCAGACTGGAGTGCAGTGGCCGCTCCCGGCCATCGCAGCCTCGACCCGCTGGGCTCCGGCGATCCTTCCACCTCAGCCTCACGAGTAGCCGGAACTACAGGCACGTGCTACCACGCCCGGCTCATTTTTGATTTATTGTAGAGATGAGGTCTCGCCAAGTTGCCCAGGCGGGTCTCGAACCCACGGGCTCAGGCAATCCACTCACTTCAGCCTCCCAAAGGCGCAGGATTGCAGGCTGAGTCACCGAGCCCGGCTCGAGCATATTTTTTAAAAGAATCAATTACTCTGAAAGTCTTAAGATGAGACTCAAGAGTCTACCCTACCCAGCCCTGCCCCATCCTCTCCCGTGTTGCACCACGGGGTGTGATTCCAATAAAATCTCGTGTATGTCTCCGATTTTACATAGACCATATACATGTGCGTATGCATAGGTGTATACCTGCATACACCTATGTATACATACATACACATATGTATAAGTGTGAACAGGGCGCTCTGGTTGATGCGGGGTGAGGCCCTGAACTTTCTTGTCAGTCTTTCAGTCCTGCCCTGGTGGGTCTCCAGGTTGCCCTTGTGGACACGTCCTCAGCCCAGTGCTGGATGGGCATTTGAGCTGCACCCTCCGGTTTGACCCAGTGAAGAAGAGGGCAGTGTCCCTGGGTGGCCCCTTATCTCTGTGACTGTGATTTGGATCCTGGAACTTAAGGCGTGGTGGTGGTCTGGAGTGGCTGGTTTGGGGAGCACAGGCAGTGGTCACTGGGCAGAAGCATCTGCTTCTGCACCTTGATGAGTTCCGCCTGGGTGCTTGTACCTGAGTCACTAACAGAGAAGGCAGCTCTGTGGCCAGACTTCCATGCTGCTGTGTGTTCCCAGACCTCACTGCAGACCACTGACGAGAGCTGGGTGGAGGCTACAGTGGCTGCATGTGGTGGTCTTGCGGGATGTCTGTGGGCTGTGAGCCCACATGAGGGGGACTCATGTTTCTTGGGGCCTCGTGCCCGGTGAGGTCAACAGGAGGCCAGGCTGCTGCTGGGCTCCATAGGCCAGGGCAAGCATGGCCACAGCCAGAGGCCTGGGTCAGGCTGCTGGTGTGTCTCCAGGCCTGCTCATCTGTGCTGTGCTGAGGATGAGGGTCAACTCCATCCTGGCACTCAGGGCCTCCTCTTGGGCTGCTGCCCCACCCTGCAGCATTGCCCCGGGCCCTCTGCATGGCCCCCTCCATGGGCTGAACTGTAGTCTACTCCCCTCTGTGTCCCCGGCCTCCTCCCCAGAGCCCCCCAGTTCTCATGATTCTTCAGATCAGAGTGCATCAATTTCGAGGGGCTTTCACCGGCCGCCTTTATTGTCACTGTTGTGATACCTCCTTTATTTATTTTACACTTGGCTTCCCTTCCTCAAATGATCTTTACTATGATCATAGTAATTACTATTATTTCCTGGCTCCCCCTAGACACCCTCCACTCACGAATGCATGTGTATGCCCAACACAAACCCTAAATTGTTGAGTGGGGAAAGGGACAGTGACACTCTCTTCTCTGGCCGCAGATGGCAGACCTGCATGCTGTCCCGCGGGGCATGTACGATGGGCCGGTGTTTGACTTGACCACCACACCCAAAGGGGGCACCCCCGCGGGCTCTACGCGGGGCTCTCCCACACGGCCCAACCCACCTGTGCGGAATCTCCACCAGTCGGGATTCAGCCTGTCGGGTGAGTGGGATGCCTGACTGAGGGAGGGAGGGAGACCCGAGGCTCCAGCCCAGGGCTTTGCGAGGAGAAGGTTGCTGGCCAGGCAGAAGTCAGCAAGGGGTCCTGGTGAGAAGGAGAGGCAAGGCACAGCCAGGCCAAGGCCGGGTTCCAGTGGTGCCTGATTCTGCTTAGAGACTGGCCTGGTGGGAGGTGGGGAGGGCAGCTTTCACTGTGAGTTGAGGTGTTCCCCTCTTTGTCCAGGTTAAAAGATAGCGCGGATGATTGTCCTGCTCAAATGCTAGTAGTTTTTTTTTTCTAGCCTTGGGTTTTTATTCTCCCATTCCTAGTAGTAATAATAATGTATGCAATAGCTACCACTGATGGAATATTTACCACATGTTAGCCGGATCATTTGTCATATCTATCCTTGAAGAACTCTCTGTTATAAATAGAAAATAATGATTTAGTGCTCCATAACCAGTAGTCTTAAAATGGGGGGAAATGCATGTAGGTTTGCATTCCTGTAATGAACGACCTAAGTGTGAAGCAAGACAAGAAGAAAGGAAAGAGATTTGAAGGGAAAAGCCACAGCATATAGAAAAGGGGCAGGAATGGGAGAAACAGAGGAATGGGAAGAAAGAGGTCAGGGGGCTGTGGGGGAGAGAGTCAAGGAGAAGAGGTAGCGTTGAAGAGACTTTGCCAGGGGGCACGTTCTAGGCCCGGGCAGTTTCTGTCGGAGCCTTGGCTACTGTCTGTTGCATCCTGGATGCCTCTGTCCTTAGGCTTTTTGAGGCTCCTTCCGGAATGGGCCTAAGCACACACATGGTTCCTTCTGGACTGGAGTCACACTTCGAATGGTGAGGCAAGGCCCCCAGTGTCTCAGAGCTCAGCTGTCTCCTCTGCAGGGCAGGAACAAGAACCTCTCTCAAATCATCGGGCGAGGGTTCGGCGAAATGGCTGGTTAAAAGCACCCCAAACACTGCTGCCATGGGGGGTGTTGACCACCAGCTTGCACGTGTGACCCCTGCTCTTCTGCCTGGTACTGTCATCCTGCGGATGAGGACTTGGCTTTTCCCACTAGAGGGTCCTTTTCCAGGAATGTGGAAAGCCCAGAAGGTCTGACAGCCCAGGGAGGTGAGGCCAGGAATACACTTAACATCCTGTGCTCTTGCAATTAACCCCTCCTCCTCTCCTTTCCCCTGGGAATGTGTCTCCACCACAGGCACTCAGGTGGACGAGGGGATCCGCTCGGCCAGCAAGCGCATCGTGGCGCCCCCCGGAGGCCGCTCCAACATCACATCCCTGAGTTAAGCAGCCCTCCCCAGGGGGAGAGGGGCGGAAGCAGGAGAGATTGCGGAAGCCAAACGGCGCGCGACGTTTGAGAAGGAAAGGAATCCAGACCGCCAACTGCAGAAGGGATGCGCCTCAAGCCTTATGTTCCCCGTGTGACGCGCTTGCTAGCTTTGCGGGTCCTGCTTTGTTCTGTTTATGCATAGCCTCGACGTGTTCGCCCGTGTACCTGCATGCAACCAGATAGCCACTGAGGAGGGAGTCTGCTGTGATCGTGTTGGGAGCGTGTGTAGTGCTGCATCTTAGGACAAAGGGACAGACGACACCAGGTGGCAGGGGATGAACAGGAGGGCCAGAGGTTATGGGGGTGAGCGGGTGGTGGGGGCCTGGACAGGTGGAGGGTGCGGAGGGGCCGGGCTCGGGCGTTGGGGGGGAAGGAGTGGGGGGTGCCAGAAAGGTGTTATGTGTTGTGCTGACGATGTCGCTGATTTCCATGGGAGATGGCCACCGTGGCAACCGTCCCTCACCACGACCCCCGGGGTCTGTGCGAGGGCAGGAAGTCTTTGGGTTCCGTTCCGTCCTTTGTCACGTCCCTCCTAGTAACTTTTGTTTCTTTGAACATTTATTAAAACGCCAAAACCCAGCCATTTCTTCCACCAGCTTGACGGTACCACTGCCTGCTCGGGCCTCTTTCTCAGTGTCGCTTTCAATCCTCCTCTTTCCTGGGCTGGGAAGGCCCGAGAGGGAGAGAGCCAATGATCCCTCTCTTCCTCTTGCCCTCCCTGCCTCTACGGTGCTCTTAAAAGCCGAAGCTGAGAACAGCATCGCCCTGAGTGTACAGAGATGCTCCCAGCAAACACAGCAAGGCTGCCTCTCACGCTCCTGTCTGCAGCCGAGCAGAGTAGCTTGCTTCTGGCATCCTGGCTCGATTGTTAGCCCGGTGGGGCAGAAGGAAGGCCTCTCTTGCCAACGAGGCTTGATTCTCTTGATCTCCTGAGATCCAGGTGCATTCGTGATAAATAGGATTTTTTTTTTAGTTAATGTTCCCTAAACTTTCACTACGAATAGGTCATCTCAGCTTCTGTGGGAGTCAGGCAGAGATTTAGGAAAACCAGTCTTGAGCAGAGGGAGCACATTTTGTGGCCCTGGTTCCGATTTTCCATTCAAAACCATTGTTTCCTTTCCATGAGCAGGTCCTCTGGGGGAGCTTCCGGTTTCAGTCCCAAAAGCTCCCCAGGTGAGTGGAAGGACAAGGGAACCAGCACAGAGCAGTTGTGTCCCCTGTCCCCCTGTCTGTCAGAGCTGAATGTTCGTCTTCCTATCATGCCACTTCTGAAAATTCAGTCTTGGGGCAAATTCTGTGGGCAAGACGAGGCTTGTGAAACCCAGATGTCCATTTGCAGGAAGAAGTATCCAACCTGGTCTCAGCCCTCCGGCAGCCCCTCTGCCCCTGGGTACTAAGTACTTGGAAGGGAAGAGCAGGCCTCAGACACCTTTTAAGTGCTTAGGAGAAACCATCTTCTGTGATTGCAGGTTTTAATAAGTTGGAGACCACACACTTGGCTACAGAGCAATTTGGAAGTAGCCTTGAAAAAGAGAATTTCCCCTAGCAAGCTACTTTCTGTCTGAATCATGAAAAAGACTGTCTCCCCTCATAATCATAGGGAGTCTTGCTATTTAAGGCTCTCATGATGCTTTGCTTCTAAAACTCAAGTAAACTGAAAATGTAGCTCTTAATTTACAATTCAAAGATCGGGGCCTATCTAGAACGCAGGAAGGCAGGCGGTGTGACACAGAGGGAGTTTGTCAGCCGGAAGCCTGTATCCTTGCCGGGTTGTGTGGCAGTATGGGCTGCATTACCAGACACAGCCACCAGGTGGGGAAAGAGACGCATCCACGCTCATGAAACTGAGTGACCACTTTGTATCCGAGGCTCCCTCCGTGGCCACAGCAGTCGCCTGCACTGCACGTGGGCCTGCTGGAGTGTAGCACCACGCAGAGCTTCATGTCTACATGTGCTTTCCAGTGCTCTCTAGGGTGCCCTCCCTTTCTCCCTTAGCTCCTGACCGCCCACCGCTGAGTGGTTCCTAAGAGGTCCTGGGGAGACTCCCACCGCCCTCCCGGCCTGGGTACTGAATCACCAGAGTTGAAATCCACACTCAGACCTGTGTTCACAAGACACACCCAGTCCTCCTCAAAGGGCTTGGGACAAGACAGCAGCAGGTTGCCTCTCCCCATCCAGGTGTGGCAGACCTGGAGCTGCCATCCCCCTCTTGAGTGGTCCTCCACCCTCTGTTACCCCCGGGATGCCCCTGCTGTTCCCAGCCCCCTGGGCTGCCCCAAGCCTGATGGCTCACGGAGTTGAGGTGACTGTGAACTGTAAAGCAGCCACCCCAATAGAGATTTTTCTTTCACTTCTAAGTTTTCTAGAAATAGTGGAATGGTAGTCACCCCCCAAACGGTCTTCTTCAAAGTCCATCATCCTTTGACCTTTTTCTCTGTGACCCTGCCCGGAGTGTTGTGCTTCCCAGAACCGGCTCCTGAGCTGGACTCTGCCCACCCTGGAAGCCCTTCCCAGCAGGGGGTTAGATTCCCAACTCTTGCCACAAGCTTCCCAGGCTTTCTCCCCTGGAAAGGCCCAGCTGGAGTCCCGGTCACGCTGCAGGGTGTCCTGGCAGCCAGCATTCGTTGTAAGTCCCCTCTTTGCAAACTGGTGTGTGGGTGTCAGTTCTGTGTCTGGTGGCTGTGGACAGCCGTGACTCCCGTGCTCTGTGCTAGCTGTGAGGCAGCTCTGCCACGTGCGAGCTGTTTGGTTTGAACCGTGAAGAAAACTGTGTTTTGAGTTTAGCTGAGATAAAGGAAAAAAATTCATCAAGTGACTGTTAATGTAAACCTTGTTATTAAAATAACTATGAAATGACCGGTATGGTTCTCCAGTCTTTTGTGTGCAGTGTGCTATTTCACCTAAAATATTCAAAGCGTATAATCAAACTGAAATGGTGAGGGGGCAGAGCTGATAACAGAGCTGTCTGGAGGGTTTGAGGGTTTCCATAGTTTCATGGAGATAACTGAGTTCGTTTTGGCCACAGAGTCTGATGACCATTATTGAGACCTGGGGCATGATGTGCGTGGGGCAGACTCAAGCCTTGCTGGGTCTGAGCGCAAAATCCCCTTTCCATCTCAGCCCCACATGCTGTCAGCACTGCTTTCTTCTCAGGAAAGCTTTCGATGCACCATAGATTTAGTATTAGATGCCACTTGGGGTAAATACAGCTGAGTTCAGAACGAGTCTTAAGGTTTTTTGCTTATTGGGATTTGGGGTAGTTACCTTAAAACCTTATTATTAGGTTGCCTTGTAAGCATTTTCTGCTTCTTTCTCAAAGTCCAGGCTTGGAGAAAATCTCAAGCTAAGCATGTGCCAAAGTATATTCTTTATTAAACAGATCCCAAGAAGTGGAGTGAGTGCTGGAAAGGATGACTTGCAGTGTCCACTCCTGGGAGCCCTAAGGCTCATACCAGCAAGGCAAAGGCCCTGGTTCTGATGGCTCTGAGTAACTCTGCAGGAAGGAAGTCTTTCATGTTTTGCCCAGTTCTTGGATCTCAAGCTTTTTGGACTTCTGAGCCCTTCAGTTCTCTCGCCTTTTGCCATCCCACCAGGCCCGTTATACTAAAACCTTTTGGGGAAGCACTGCTGAATCCAAGTCTCCTTCGTGCTCATCATTTTTCATTGCAGAGGTCAAACTAGCTTATGAGGGGAAGGTGGAAAAGGGGATGCTGGAGTCTGGTGCCAGTGCAAGGCTGCCTGGGACAGGCTCAAGCCTTGCTGGGTCTGAGCGCAAAATCCCCTTTCCATCTCAGCCCCACGTGCTGTCAGCACCGCTTTCTTCTCGGGAAAGCTCTTTCTCTTCAGATTTTCACGTCACTTGCGAAGTAGCCTCACAGGAAGCAGAGCGCATCCCTCGATATTTTCAGCTGAAGAAACTGATTCTGACTAGCCAGGCTTGGGTCGTGTGCTCAACGCTGACCTAGTACACTGGGGCCAGAAGAGAGGGTGGGGCAGTGTGGCCATACTAGCTGACAAGTGTGGGCCCCTGGCTACCTGAACCATGTTGATTCTCAATGACTCCACATAGAAGGTCGATTTGTGAAGGGGTCAGCACTAAAAGCAAACCCTAAAAGGAATGGAGTGGTTTTTAAAAAAAGGTGGTGAAAGCTATCCACTGGCTAACTTCCACACATCTTCCCTCTGGTCAGAGGGCCGTGGCTGAGCCGCACTGGCCGGGTGGGGAATGAGAGCACTGAACAGGAATGAGAGCCAAAGAACTTTCTGGACGTAGCTCTCCTACCTTCAACTCGCAAAGGAGACACGAGCAGGAGATGAAGACTAAAAGGACCAAAGCAACCTGGAAAAATGAGACTGCCCTCTTGAGGTCGACACGCTACAGAATCCGAGTGTTCCAGACCCTGGCCTTTGCTCAGATGGCTGCTGGGGACACAACAGGACACTTCATGTGACCCAGACAACAGAGTGCTGAGCATGCAGGACTTCAGAGCCTACAAAACTCATAAGAGCTGCCTTACCTTAGCATGCGCTTGGGGAAAGCTCTTGTGGGTCTGAGCCATCGGTGACAAAGTCCCTTTTTCTCTGCTAAGGCAGGAGCTGCTGTGAGCTGCTGATGCCTTCCCATCTCTCTGTGGGCCTGGGAGCACCTGCCTGGGGCTTTGGTTTACGGAATGGACAGGGCAAAGCTGTCGCAGGCAGGAGCGCAGAGTGCGGGAGAGAGGGGCGTGGGCTGCTGTGGACCTGGGGCCACAGTGGACGGCAGAACATGGGATTCTGGGCTATGCTCCCTGAGGCAGGAATGCCGGGTCAGGCTCTCCAGCTTTATACATGTGGGTCAGTTAAGTTGTGCTGCACTGCATAGTTCTAGAACACCAGCTCCAACACCAGCTCATCTCTGGTGAGGATGCGCTTCACCACAGGAAGGAGAGAGAAGAGAGAACAGGTAGCTCTGGGTGCCCTGCTATGCCCTCTTGGGAAAACAGTTTCACACTCACACACACAGCTGGCAAAGAAGGGACAGTGGCTTCCTGTTTATAGAAGGCATTTTAATACACAAGGACAAGCTTATGCCACACATGCCACAGCTCAGCAGGAACACTAGTTTCCTGCCTGTGGTGGCCAGGTTAGCTGCGTCCACACAGCACAGACAACTGGAACCCAGATGTTTAGTGTCAGTGTTTAACAACACACACACCGAGCTTGTGATGAACAGGAGTCACAGGCGGACAGGGTAGCAGGCAGGATTTTGTGTAGAACACAAGGACAGCTGGGGACTGGAACATGTGACAGTGCTGCCATGACTTTCTGTTCTGCCTGGGAAGAGTTAGAGCCTTGCATGATCACCTTGGCAGCAGCAATACTGGTCCCCACTGGCTTATGTTCATGCTCTTCCGTCTCAGCTATTTACTCATCCATCAGGTCTACTACAGCTGGGCTGACAGAAAGTCTGGTCATTTCTGGTGAAAACATTCCTATCAGGAGAAACTTAAACAAGGATCCATTGGGTAACCATCATTAATTCAGCAGCGCTCGGTGTTGCCCGATGTCCACTCCCACCCTACAGTGACCACAGGCCAAACCAGTGCTGCCACAAAGGCAGAAGAGTCATTTGCAGAGCACTTCGTTTCATGGACTAGGATGGTGGCCAAAGTGGCCAGGCCCAGCAGCACCCTATCCCAATCTGATAGCAGTCACCCAAGTGACTGGAGGTGAGCAGCTCTGCTGTGTAGCCAGCAGGCGACAGCCAGGGTGTCCCTGGACTTCATGCCTGCTCAGACTCTTCAGACGCCCTGCCCGGGAAAGACGGGGAACGTTGGGAGAAACAGCTTTGGGATCATCCACAAGGGTGTCATGGTCGTCCTGTTTTCTGAAGACCTCAGCCCTGAGCCTGGGCCATCATGCATCTAGATGAGACAGTGCTCAGCCCACATCCTGGAATAAAACCGAAGGGTCCAATTCAGCAACTAATAATAACCAAGAGGATTGAGGAAAGGTGTGGTTTTGGAAGACGCTTCTGTTCTCACATTTAAAGCGCAGTGGTGGAGTGCTTGGAATCAGGAGCTCTGTACCCTCAGGGGAGGCTCCTCTTTCTGACTTGAAACACGAAGAGTGTCCATCCTTGGGAGGACTGGAAGTCTACCCTCTGACACGTGGCCTCTAATCAGTGCGTCCATGCTTCCTGGAAACTTGCAGAGGTGCTAAATGGCACAGGAGCAGCTTGCTGGAAATGTGGCTTGGGGGTTCAGACTGCAGAGATGGTACTGGATCCCTGCCGCATTGTAAGTTGTATAGACATGATATGGCAGCCGTGTTCATCTCTCAGCATGAGGGAGAACCTCACAGTTCCACTGCCATTTGGTGGGCATGAGGGCAGCAGGGTTCCCGGAGCCTTGCCTTGGGGAACACACACGCAAGGTCACGTGGAGGACATGCAGGGAGTCAAGTCCACAGGACATCAGCGCTTGAGTCAAAAAGAAGGGCAGACAAGCTGGTGACCATGCGGGGAACCCTGATGCTCTTGGGGTGACCTGACTGGAGCAGAACCGGGCCACTTTCAACCACCCCCTCTCTGAAATGGAGTCAGGGCAAGTACTTGGAGTTTACGAGGTTGGAGAAAGTACAAATAACGTGTGGGAACTGGAAAGAAAAGGAATCAAATAAACAGGAAAAAAAAGAGCCAGCTTTTAATCCTTATAACAAAAATAGGTTTGCTTTGAAAGGAGTAGGCACTATTTCACAGCTCTGCAAGAAATTCTAGACTTATCATCTCAGTGAGAGAAAAATGGTATACGCCAAGCAAAAGTGTAGCTCTGGCTTTCTACTCATGCTTGGTTGCCCCAGGTGACCTCCTTTATGAAAAAGTCTAGTGTAGCTGGTGGCCATCTCTGCTACTATCTACTTCCACCTTCCCATCAGGGTGTCCCTGTTGTCAACATTGCCATCAGAAGACAGGAAAGCCCACACCTTATGGTAAGGGCAGGTTTAGGTGATCTGAGTAGCTAAGAGGTTAAAACAGTCCAAGCAACATGCTTGGAATATCACTTCTTGACTCTACCCAGGGGCATCTGGGGTGGCCAGAAAGAGTTCTCTGTGGAGTTAACATCATATGCACACGTCACTTAGGTGAGTTAAACTCACTTAGGTGAGTTAAAATCAATAAAATACAAAGAAAAAGAAAAAGTGAGACATCAATGATATTTTATGTAAGAAGGCAGTTCTACCTGCCATTCTTGCAGTAGGCACAAGGGGAGATGTGATGCCTCTGTTCCCTCAATCAGGCTCTGTGAACTCTACCTTACACCTCTCAGGTGTGTGCCTCCCATTGCCTGAGGGTAATTCTAGTTACCCTTGGATAATTAGGGATAATTTGTCGACATTTTAGTTCATCTGGATTAGCCAATATGAGACCAAAGATGAACAGGAAGAACAAATCAAAACAAACAAAAGCAATGATTTGTTTCACTACTAAAGAGCAACTCATGGTACTGGGCTCTAAGGAATTTTTCAAGGGTAAATCTTACTATCTTCTAAATTCACTTCTAACTTAGAATATAACCCCCGAGTAAGATGCAACTTTGCTGAACTGCGAGGGGACGTGCTTTCAGTGAGACAATATTCTTTTCTGATCTTCTACTCATCTTCAGAGCATGATTAGCCCTCAAGCAACATGCTTATTGGAAGGAGAGTGGTGTGCTCATACTTAGCCACTGGCTAGCTAGGAGGGGAAAAGTTCTGATTTTTAGTGTTTGCCGATGTCCATGGTGTAAATACTCCCATTATCACCAACATTGAGTTACCACCTTTGCATGACTGACGAGGGCGCTGGGAAATGATGTGCACAGCAGGCCCCCCCACGGGCAGGATGCTCCTCCAGCCCACCACGGAGGGCCTCCTACCTCTATGGTACCTTTAATCTGGTCCCATTCATTTCGTCCTGATGGAAGTCCTTATTTCTATCCAATGAGGCTTGGGGCATCTGACCTCTTTATAAAATGTCCTGGGTCTGAAAAGTCTCACTGAGTCCTGTGTCCATTTGTCCATTTGCCACTGTGCAAATTTTAATAGAAGGAGTGCAAAAATAAATCTACATCCAAATGCTCATTTTAAAATAAAAATACAGGCTGTTTAGAATAATAATTGTAGCACTAAAAAGGCAGAGTATGGCTCAGCAGGGGTAACTCTTATTTAGACAAACTACAGAAAATGGTTACGTGACTTGTGCAAAAGCACACAGTTAGTGGGGACCTTGAGCCTGGGAGCTCAGGCCCAGGACTCTTCACTGTGTCGTGCTGCCTCCTTTCCTAAGTCATGAAGTGTGGAGTGGCAAAAACACCATTAGCTCTTCCTGACATGAATAATCAGAAGCTTCTGGCATGAGGTGCCAAGAAATGTCCCACGAAGAAGATTCTGAGGCCTTTTACAGGTTGTCATTCTGGCCGTCCTCCTCTTGTGGGTCTTTGGTTTGTTCCGAGGCTAGGTCTGCTTGCTTTTTATTAAAGTCCCTTTTTACTCTTAAAGAGAGGGGAAAAAAGGTTTTATTCTTTGAAAAGAAAAATAAATGTTTTAATCATTTGAAATATTAAGCCCAAAAAGTTATAAAGAAGTACGAGCCAAGGAAATCTTTAAAAAGTCATTGATTTTAAGTACTTAAATACTAATTTCTCTGCCCTTCTCGTAAACAAAGACTCGGTGCTAGGTTAATTTACCTATTAAACTTTTAAACATATCTTATCAAAAAAAAAGTTTCTGACTCTTTCCAATTTTCTATAATGAAAGTGCATTATTTTTATGGTTAGAAAAAAGTTTAAATGCTAAGAAAGTATGTATTTTTCTCTGCAAGTAAATCTGTCTGAAACACTCCATCATTTTCTAGGTTACTGTTCTCCCAGAATTACTTACTTTTCTCTGTTGAAAATGATGAACTCCTTCTGGACAGAGTCAAGGTGCTTTTGAAGAAGACACATCTTTCAGGTGAACATTGAAAAAAAATACAGGTATGGTTAGCAAGTGTATAAAGGTCCTTAAACAGCCAAAAACCTATTGAATGGCTATTCAATCTCAAGTCTAAGAGGCACCAAAGTATTTTCAAAAATGGATGCTATAGGAAGAAGATTCTGGGAAGATGGCAGAGTACGAAGCACCAGGAACCTGTCTTCCCACCCAGACAAAAATGGCACCGGCAAACTGTCTGATGGAGCTGTTGTGGAACGCTGAAGTCTGTTGAAGGCACCTTTCAGGAGGATTGGGCTGTGCAGCTAATTTTGATCAACTGAAGCTCCTGGCACAGTAGCAGCTACTCATGTCCCATCCTCCAGTCCTGTGGGAGGAAGCTGTGCACCCATGTTCCTGGGGCAGCTTGCACACAGGAGCCAGGGTGGGACATAAGAAACATGTCCTCCAAAAACCGGGGCTTTGTGCTCCGATCACTGATCACAGATGTGCAGAGAGCCTGGTAGCCACTGCTGTTGCACCTTCCACAATGCTGCAAGCCCCTCTTTCTCTGGAGAATTAAAGGGTCAGCTTCCTTTATTCCTTGCATTTTTCTCTTTTCCCTCTTTTGGGAGCCAGACCTTAAGAACCAGGATATTCAAACTCAACTACACATATGGGGAAAATTAGAAAGTGACTTCACATGCCCAGGGAAGTATGCAGGCTCTGAAAAGACCTAAGAAAACCTACATTTACACCTCAGGCTGACCTTGGCAGCCTGGGGGAGGAGAAATCTGATTTTCAGAGTGACCACATTATTAAGATTCGAATGTCCAGTATAAAAAATAAAAGACATACAAAGAAACAGGAAAGTATGGCATAAAAAGAGAAAAAAGAAAAGAGAATATTTGAAGAAATAATGGCTGAAAACTTCCCAAATGTGGTGAAAGACGTGATTACAACTATCTAAGAAGCTAAAAAAACTCCAGATAAGATAAATCCCAAGAGACCCATACTAAGACATAGTACAATCAAATTTTCTAAAGACAATGACAAAGAGAGAATCTTGAAAGTAGCAAGAGAGAAACAATTGGTCATTAAGATGCTCAATAAGATTATCAGTAGATTTCTCATCAGAAACTTTTGGAGGCTAGAAGGCAGGCTGATATATCCAAAGTGCTAAAAGAAAAAAAAAAATCTATCAGTGAAGAATCCTATATCCAGCAAAGCTGTCCTTGAAAAGTGAGGGAGAAACAAAGACATTTCCAAATAAACAAAAGCTGAAGGAGTTCATTACTACTACACCTGCCCTGCAAGAAATGTTCAAGGGACCCTTGCAAGGTGAAATGAGATAGTAACTGAAAATCACATGAAGAAATAAACATTTCAATAAAGGTTAATACAATGGGCAATTATAAAAGTTAATATTATAGTAACAACAGTTTATAACTCCATTTTGTTTTCTACATTATGCAAGAGACTAACACATTAAAAAAAACTATTAGTCTAAAAGCTAGTATTCTTGTATTAGTTTAGAAGTTCTACCTGAATTTTGTGAATAGCCTAAAATATCTCTCCATGCTGAATCCTGACAGAATGTTCCCCTCAGCATCTGCGCTGAGGTTGATTAAAGACACTTTACTGCCAGTCAGCAAAGTATTTCAGTTTGTTACTTTCTCTGGACATGCAAAGCAGTTGCTTTGACACTGTGCTGTCTAGTTTTCAACAACTACTGATGACTTTTCTATCTTCATGAGAAAATTTAACCTCAAAAATTGATAATTATCAGTTCCAGGACAAGATTAGACCCAAATCAAATGTTTCAAAACTCTGCAACAAAATACTTCCAAATTACTTCTGATTAAAAATATTCTTCTCTTGAAAAAAAAAAAGACTCATTAAAAACATTTTTTTAAAACTAAGAATTAGATATACTATATCCTCAAGTACTGGAGCATTTTCCTTCCTGAGTGATTCAGGTGATAGTAGAGGAAGCTACAGCAAACACAAAAGAAGGGTGGAGAGCAAGACCGTGGAGAAAAAGAAGACTCTTCTATATTTCACTCTTATTCTCAAACCAAGGTGTCTGTAATCCTGAGGGTTTCTGGTATCAGTCGTGGGGACATACAGCAACAGAACAAACACAATCTGATAAACGCTCTTGGGAGCAGCACCTTTACCCCAAAGATTTTGGCACAAAAATTTTAGCATTAAAATTAAAGTTATAATTATCATAATATTATAAGAAAAGGATTGGCAGTAGCAGGAAACTGCCAGGAAGAGGACGGGGAAGCAGGATTGGCAGTCGTGGGAATCTGCCTGGGGAAGGGGGGACACACCTCATCAGCAAGGGTACCTGCATAATGATCATTTGTATACCTAACCCTGAATTGTACCCCACAATTTCAAAATAAAAATAAAAAGAGGAAAAAAAGTAAAATTAATAAAATTAAAGTTATAATCAAATAAAATACAAAAATCCACATGAACTTTTTCTTTACCATGTAACTGATTTATTTAAACAAAGAGATGAAATGCACACTTGGAGATGACTTTGTGGTGTGGCCCTTCACACTCCATGAGTCCCACCCCAGGCCCTTAAAGGGTTCACGTTTGACATGTTCTCTTTCCTCTGCTGCAAGTGGAAAAGCTCAAGAAGTTTGGCTCAATGGGTACGTCAACGGAGGAGCCAAAAAAGAGAAGATGAAAGGAGGAGAGAAGAAAGAAGAATGGGGGACTGATGGGTTGTATGTGACTGAGAAGGGAATGCTGGATACCGATGTTAGGGCTCACCTATCAGCAGTGACAGAGAACACAGCGCTCAGAGGATCAGAAATGAAGAAGTTGTGCATCGAGCATGGCTGAAGGGCTTAGAGCAGGCAGAAATCTCAGGAGGCAGAAAAGGAGAACCGGGGTAACTAGCCCGAGTAGCCAGACAGACTGGATGGCACGCCAGTCTTCCTGATTCTACAAAGACGTTGAACGGAGAGGGACAAAGTAGAAACCATTCTAGGAGCAAAGAATCAGCAGAGGCATCTAACACGAGCATGAATAGAGCCAAGGAAAAGAAGTTAGGAGTCAGGAAGTGGAAAACCAAGCGTAACAGCCACAAACATTCTGCCCAACTCATCACGTGCACTCATTTACTCAGTACAAGGCCATGGAGTTGGGATGGACACTGATGCCATTGATAAGCGAGGAAACAGAGGTGGGAAAACACAAAACTTTGGTAATTTTACTGTACGTAATCACATCCTAGATTCTATAGCAATATAGCTCAACCACAGCTGCACACACGAATCACCTGAAGTATTCTTTTAAAACAACACCACCCAGGACACACCCTGAAAGTCAGACGTAACTGGTCTAAGGTGGGACCCAGTCACCAGCATGTTTTTTAAAGTTCTACTAATGGTTCAAATATGATGTAAATGCTGAGAAATACTCTATTGTAGTAGAGATGTAGAGAAGTCCAAGGGGTCATATGATGACACGCCTTCAGCATCACATAAATCCAAACCTTAACACAGCTGACAGTTAACATGTGCCAGGCACTGTGTTAAATACCTTACTTAACATTATTTTAGTTTATCCTTGGGACAATAGTAGGATGTAGGTCCTATTACCATTCTATTTTATATATAAAGGCTCCGATGCTTAGAGAAGCTACATGATTTAACATTTATTTTTTACTTTTTTTAAAGTTTATTTATTTATTTATGAATAATCACAGCTCACAGTTCAACCACAGCCCTGACCTTCTGCGTTCAGGTGATCCTCCCACTGGCCTCCCAAGTAGCTGGGACTACAGATGCACACCACCATGCCTGGCTAATTGTTTTTTTAAATTTCTTATAGAGATGAGGTATTGCTATGTTGCCTAGGCTGGTCTCGAACTCCTAGGCTCAAGCAATCTTTCTGTCTTGGCCTTCCAAAGTTGTGGGATTACAGGAGTAAGCCACCATACCTGGCCTGCTTTAACATTTAAATCATTACATCTTAATCCATCACATAGCTATTTAGTAAGCAGCCACTACGCTACATTGCCTTCATCTTATCATGATAGGGAGAATTCAAAGATACGGCAGCTCTCAGTGAAGATAAGCAAGACATATACTCTAATTTAGCAGATGCGGCACTGTGCTAGTTGTATTAACATAAGCTATTCAACATGTAGGAGCCATCATTGTAGATCACTCCCTGCTCCCATATTCCATTTGTTAATAACATAATCCTACCCTTTTTGAATCCCTATTATAAGTCTGGAGCCTTTCAAGTCTGAATATTTCTTCTCAGTACCCATGAATGCAATTTCACCTCTTAGACTTGAAACACTACAGACCCTTCTAACAGTAGGCAGGAAAGATGTCTACAAGATGAGGAGAAAATGTTCCCTTTCCCTTATTCTTACAGATAAAAGAATATACTGGTCTGCATCACCAAAAAACAAAACAGATTCTTGCAAACATTTCTAATAAAGGCTCTTGTAAGACTCTTGTACTTCAGAGATTGTTGCTAAACCCCATGAAAATGAACTCTATCCTTTAGCAAGTCTAGGATGCTGAACAGATCTCTTACAATGTTTTATCCTGATAATAATATTTACATTTATATCTCTTTCTCCAAAGATGTAAATATCTATAAATTATCTTGACAAGTTTAGAAAGGCATCTGAGGCACTACTTTCTCACTTTTTTTCCTACATGAAAAAGTTAAAAAACAAAACAAAGCAACTGTATCAGGCATCTTAAACAAAAAATGTAGGAGTCTTGTCTCATTTAAATTTGTATTAATGAGTACCTATTATATGTTTGGCCCTATGGGGAATATAAAAAGGTATGTCTCTAAATTCCCTACATGCAAGAATTAAATAACATCATACTAGTGGTTAACTATTGTCAGAAATACAAATCCTGTAAAATTTATTGCAAATACTGTAAGTATATAAGATTTTGAAGAGAAGAATCAGTTCACTTAAGAATTTTGAAATGGCCCAAACCATCCAAAGATATGACAGTAGGTGTTTTTCCCCATA